TTAGAATGCAAACAAACAATCGGCACGAGGGAGTACTCAGTAAACCTCCCTCCAAAGAACAACAAAAGCAATTAATTGTGCCTGTGTCTCCTCATTTTAAATTTGAAACTAAGAAAAGGGATGGTATCTTGTGATTGACTGACTGACCTATAGAAAAGAATGGTAATGGATATGCTTTTACAACTCTCCTTTTAATTTGGGATGTAATAATTATTTGTGTTTTTCAATACCTCTTACCATATTCTACAATGTTAATTTAATTCTCCTCCTTTCTCTCACTCTCTCTCAAATTTTTTTGTTTTTCCTCTTAGTTGCTCGCCAAATCTCGTGAATCACCAAGTTCTTGTTGAAAGCATGGATAGTCATCTTGCACACATTGGCCTCTATGCCATTCGAGATGTAAGTGCAATCCTCCTTTTCCTTGAGCATTAGTATGTTTGGTGGGGATGGATGGGATATAACTTTTTTTTTTTATAACCGTGGATGTCCGGGCCAGCTTGCGCGCACCTCGACTAATTTCACGGGGCCCTGAAGTTTACGGCCAGGTACTTATCTCAGTGGCCCTGAGGGGACTCGAACTAGTGATCATTGGGGAGCAAACTCAAAGCCTAATCAACTGAGCAACCCCTCAGTTGAATTTTCTGTATAAGTTAAAAGTTCTCCTCCAAAACATGGTGCGCTCTTTTGCCTAGAATACTAAATTTTCAGAAACAAACTATCACCAATTCAATTCTTGTACTACCATTCAGATAAATTAGGTAATCAGTCAATTGGCTATGAAATTTTAAAACTCATAAAGATAAAGCAAGTGAATTGAATTCGGATTCATGAACTAAAGAAAAGAAAGTGAATAATAGTACATAGCACTTCGTGAACAAGAAAATAACATTAATTCAATGTCTGCCAAATAAAACACCTGAAAATCGCAAGAAGAAAACCCTATGAACCAGATCCATTCCACTGGTATGAAACCCTGATAAATAATGAATGAATTGAAAACAACGGAAACTGACCGTCGAAATAAGAAACCCGAATAGACAGAGCAAATCGATCTCAGCCGAAGGGCTTGTACATAAAGCATACAAACGACAAATCAATACCCAAAATGAAAAGTAAATTATTTGCTTAAAACCTACTAAGATCTGGATAGATGTAAATGGTCTCCAAAAAGAGATCTCAGGTAAGAAGAACAGAGACAATTAGTGAAGGGAGATAAGGTGATAGGGAAAAAAAAAACGACGTGCGTTGTGTGGTGTGTCAGACAGAAGCTTCAAAAGAAAGGTTGTCGGGTTTACAACAGGTCATAAACAACGTTTCAAATAATGGCACCGTCATCAAAATGGTGTCACTTGAAAGGCAATCTCATTTAAAGCTCTTTTTTTTCTTTTCTTTTTTTGTTTTTTTGGATTTCTGTTTCCAAAAAAGAAGAATCATTTATAAGATTTGATGAAGTTTTACACCAACTATTACTCCATCGCATTTTTCATTCTTTGTTTGGCTTGAATTGAGAACCAAGAAATAAACTTCCAGAAACAATTCTGAGATCTAAATATAAACGAATTAACAATTCAAGAGTCATTGTTCGCAAACATATCTAGACAGGATTAATTATATAGCGCCTCGAGTACTAGTGCCTCAAAGTGCTACTAAAACGTGCTAAATATCAGTTAAGCAAAAAATTAAAGTAAAAAACTTTGCACATAAGACAAAAGTCGAAAATTTGACATTAAGAACTTCAATTGAAAACTTGCAAAATTCAACTTCAGTTGTTTTAAAACACGACTTTATTAATTAGACAAGTATCCAATTATGCATAAATACCATTTCAATTTAATATATTGTTCTATGACAACCTCAATTCAACGCTTTGACGTAACCACCCAAGTTTTGTCACACGTAACAGTGACACTTAATTGAAGAGACTCGGAGCACAGAACTTTAATTGTAATAAAACCAAAAACATTGTTTAGCTAACTCATATATAATCAAACGTGTAAGCACTTACAAAAAAATTTAATACATAAATCCCAGAAATTCTCACAAATCTCTGTGGGACTGATATCTCAGCAAATGTGTTCCAAGTCCATATGATCATATCTCATTACTCGGGCATCATTAAGAGAGTTACTTTATATAAAAAATGAAGCTATGGAAATTTCGGACATATCTCGAAAATATCATCATTTTTAGGGATGGTTAACCACATAAAATCATGTCCTCAACCTACTTTTCTACTGGAAAATACCAATTTGCAGCAGTACCTTTAATCATTCAAAATTCATAACTATTAAATTGGACGTCCAAATGACACACATACAAAAATCTAAACTCGTATACTTAAATGATTGTCCCAGTCTCTCTCCCCAATTCTAACCCAATCAGTATAGTTAAATCCTCAAAGTTGTCCCTACTGCTGGGGGACGTAAAAAGATTTATACGCTTTTGCTAATTCCCTATAGAAACTTGACAAGGTACACCTTAGTCAAAGTGGATCCACATATCGACAATCATAATGATCGTGAAACTCTTGCAAAGTCTCTGCCGCTACATCTTAAAACTGGACAGATTTATTTAAACACCAACCCATGCATCCACAACATACAAAATCATAGCCAAACCATATATGAAAACTTAATATCCATCATGTAAAATTATAAATGACAAAAACCATTTCTTTTGTAGGCAAGGAACAACTCAAACAGACAGAAAATCTACCACATCAAAACCTAAGACATAAAATAAAAATTCTTAAAACTCAATTGAAGTCAAGTATTACTCCATAACCATAAAATACTTGAATTGAAAAGTTTTTTCACCAGGAACTTATTATTTCAAATAGCTCATCCACCACATTCTCTCTGCCAAGATTCCTCCGCTTGACCCTTCCAATCCACAGACTAATTTCCTGTAATTGTTAATAGTTGGGGATGAGTACAAAAATACTCAATAAGTGGATGCATAAGAGTATCAATTATTTAATAGAAAAAGCAATAACACATTTAATCTTCCAGAAAAACATCTCCTTAACTTCTTGGTTTCTCACACTACCATCTCACTATCAATATAATCGTTAGGCATGTGTGAGTATAGTACTGCAAACCTTGGTTCATCTCAATCTCGAATTTATGAGAACCAAACATAACTGTTTAGTATCTTAAACTTTGGGAGTTACATCAAAACTGAAACTTTTTTATAATAAACATGGTTAAGCTAGAAAAACCAAATAAGATAACTTTTAAAATCAACTTTCAAAACTACTTACTTGCATTGCTTGAAAAAATAGAAGAGAACACTTCCTTGAAATTCCTGGATAAGCAAGACAAAGAATCCCATGTTTCTTCTCTTTTCTTGCAAAAAAAAAAAAGGTTTCCGTACGTTTGTTAAATGTGGAGGGACAAATCTTTTCTATTTTGCTGAAATTGGGGCTTAAGAGACATGTGGGTTGGGTTCAAAATAGATAAAATTAATTACTTTGTAGGCTTAAATCAAATAAGGAATTATTTGGCCATAAAAGTTATTTCTCCCAAATTAATTAAATGCAAAAATAGCTCATTTTCCATTGCCATAGAATCTTATTATTGCCCAACATAGACTTTGACAACTAGTGGACCATCCTACCCTGAACCTTATAACAGTTGAATCATCCATAGCTCTTGGAGAGGCTTTGTGGGATGACAAGTTGACAACCATGGATTTCTTCACTTTTGCCAGAGAGAGCCTATGGGAAGGCAACTCGGATGGTTGGTGTGGCGGGGATTGGGTCGAGGGCGGTGGGTGGGGGCGACTCTCTTAGGAAAGATGACAATTTTGATTAAGTTTGTTTTGTTCTTTTCATATTTACTTATTTTTTACATGAGGTGGTGGCATTTGGGCCAGGTGAATGTGGTTAAGGTGGTCATGGACTTCCTTACGCAAAAGTACAACATAAGTTACAAAAGTGTAACCCATTGTGTTACAAATGCAATAAAATATGTTGTACAGTATTTCTAGAAATAGTTTATATTTCTAGTGTATTATGAAAACTCTTTCATATCTTCACACTGTAGTCCCATTTTATCTAATTTGATTTTAGCCATTATGGATCTGGCTGTAAAACCCAAGGCAACCCGACTTGCCAAGGGCCAAACACGTGCTGGATCGTCTTTTGTTTTTTTTTAAAAAAGAAAATAAAACAAAATTAGAAAAAGAAAAGGTTTTGGGTCTGGTAGCCCATACAGAACGACTAAAGTCTCAATATTTTCAGTTCTCAGCAGACTGACCTAGCGTGGCCCTAAAGAAAAGTGTAAATTGTACAAGACTATCAAGAAGCAGGTTGACTTAGCCGTTCCACTTTACACCTCCACCCCTACATGCTTAAAGCCTGTCATATTTTTATATTAAAAAATTGACTCCCACACATAAGAAAAAGGAATTCGAAAACACCACTTAAGTGTTCGATCGATAATGAAGGACCAAATTATCACATATACAAAAACTACCTCACCAATCTTATCTTAGGGCCAGTTTGATTCTCATTATTGTAGAATGAGAATGAAAAATATAGCCGTTATTGGGCCCCACACAAGAGATAGAAATTCATAATTGATGGCTTGATGTGATAGATAACGGTCATATTTTTTATTTTTATGGATGAAAAATGAGAAACAAACGGAGGCTTAATCTAAAATGGATACTATTTGATATTTAGAGCTATTTTCAACTCTTCAAAGATAATAATTACATTAAAGTGATATATTATAACACACTCAAATATATACGCACAATTGATGGACAAATACATTATGAAAACATTGTAGAGTAACCAAATAAGGACTGAACAGGTCAAAGGAACGAGGTGTAGAAATTTTCAAGATTAGCCCGTTATTTTGTCCAGTTCAACCTGCTTAACATGCCATGAGTATCCCAAAGAAACTGGTAAAACAAACACAAGATAGATAAATATTTCATTTAAGGGTGTCCTATTTTCATTCACAATTCACCTATAACAAATTCACCATCAGAGGCAAGTGTCCAATTCAACTTTGTATGATCATCAACCCTATCTTTCATCACCGCGGTTATGCCCCTTCGCAATCACAACAATGATTACTATCTATTCTACAAGATGCAATTAAGCACAGATTTTTAACAAAATATACTGTCTCCGTCCCCAATATTTGCAAGGACAGTTGTGACACTGCATTGTAAAATGTTGAGAATGAAATCAATGCACAGGACAGGACAATGCACAAAAAAAACAGAAAAAAGAAAACCATTGTTGCTGCTATAATAGATGCTACAGCTGTCAAGACTATGTTCAATTTCTCCATTAGCCACTATGTAGATACTAACAAATACAACACTGATAATTGACAAGTCAATTGGGAATGTGAGGAGCACGTTTGGATAAGTTTATTAAGGTAAGGTAGCACTGTTTTCAGTTATTCTACTTTCAGTGAGAAGTTGACAAGTTCGTACGAGTGATAAGTTTTGTACCTTAGTACAAAGGGAAAGCCAGGAGCAGCATTCTCTCCTGTTCTTATACAGGTTTTCAGGGTTTGCCTTGTGATCTATGTTAGGAACTAGGAAGTGCACCATGTTGACACAAAAGTCAATGCCATTGTATTCTGGCTTCTTCTTTGTGGATAATCATGTAAATATATTTCTAGGCATCAATATGTTGCTAATAATATTGCAGCCAATCTACCTTAACCCTTCCTCCAAAACTCATGCCTAATCAATATGAAGAATATGGGGGAGATGTTAAGTATTAACTTTGATCCCCGCTTCCGAAAAATAATAAAAACAAAATGAAATCCAAGACAAGCAATATCACACTTCTAATGGTTCAGTCTCAAGGTGAGAGCTATGTCCAACAATAGTATGACTCAAAATGTGATAACAATGAAGTTCCCCGCAGTTAAACCAAAGTTTTTTTAAGTTGGAAAGAAAAAAAGTAATAACTACCAAATCAAAGGCTATCTAGCTCAATTTATAGAGTTGGTCTGGTCAGACATCAATCCTACAAGAAGTAATCATCAAAAAGGCTTTCCATTAAGCCATTAGTCGTTAAACAAAACTTGCAACTCATACATATTATAAACATCATTTTATCATAGGCAGAAAAAAGATACACGAGCAAAAAACCACAACCCATAAGATAAGTTACATGATGATCACCTCCCTATATTTGTTGTACTCCCTCCATCATGTTGGTAAAGCAAGCTCGGTAACATCAACCGCAAGCCTGTGAATGATGTGTACAGAAAAGAAACTTCATTAAATTACTCCTATGAAGTTGAAAACCAACAAATTCCAGTATGAAAAAAGAATAATATGCAAAAATGTAACAAGAAACAATTATATGGTGTCCATCAAATATGTTACAATAGCTACTACAGAGCTTCGAGATATCACAATAGGCAGCCATAGTCTAATACAGGCACCTAACAGAGTACTTAGCTGAATGTCCATGTCATCAAAGGTCCTTTTTAGAAACTTAGCTGACTGTCCATGTCATCAAAGGTTTTTTTTAGAACCCGCTAAAAAGAATCTTATTCCATGATATCACATTGCGTGAAAAATAGCTTGTTCATCCTCTAAGCACTTGCTGCTTGTCACGATATAGAAACTCATTATACAATGCACCAGAGTATACATGACACATTCATTCAGTTCAGCATATTAAGAACATACTTTCAAGTTCAAAAGATTACTTTTCAGTAAAGCCAAATATGCTCCAAGATCAATGGAACTTAAGAATATTCATGGTTATATTAATAAGTAAAAGGACGTGTACAATTGAAAAAATAATATAATACACCGTGTACCTTGTCTTACCTTTCCTCGTTTTGCCACCCTGTTCCACCATCAGCAGCAGGTAAAACTAAGCTTTCAATATAGGTATTCACTTCAAGGAAATCATTCACATTACTAATGTTGGGAAACCGAAAAGAATTTTCTTTTGGGTTGTAAACTACAAAAGACGATCCAAGGGCCAATAGAACTTCCCCATTCAGTAGTATGCACAATGGTATTGAGGACACATATTTCCCAGGCTCATCAATGTAAGGAATGGAAACAACTTTAGTCCAAGACTCTTTAACTCCATAATCCTTCAAAACCCACACATCAGCACAAGTTTTTTCATAATTGCAAAGTACACAAATGCATCCTCCTAGCACCCCTAACATCACAGCAGAAAAATCTGCTTCCCCATAATTCGGCTGCTCTACAGTTCCATATATCTCCCTCTCTACATCAAGAGAAACAATATCCCACCTAGAACTGGTGTGCACCGTCCTAGGACTAGCCAACCAATGGAGCTTCCCATTCACAAATTTGCCCATATCATGAATAGGCGTGCCACCTTTAAAATTCTCAATCCTCCTCCAAGAATCATTCTTCAAACTATAAACCTTTACCACTGTCTTATACCTACCCAAGTTTTCATATCTACCAAAAATGCCCACAACCTTATAATCTTCATTAGCCTCATCGAAACCAAACCCATATTGGATACATAACCGCGGTTTCATCACAACATCTACATTTGGCAGTTTCTTGTATTTTCTAACGGATGGGTTCCACAAGATAAAATCATTTTCAGTTATGGCAATGCAAATAAGCCCATTGCAAGAACCCACTACCCGAACAAATGTTCGTGGATTTCTCCCTGGATAAACAATCTTAACCGCATCCGTTGAAGGCTCATACAAAAAAGATCTAAGCGAACAATTTTTGAGATTAAAACGTGGTTCCGAGATAGTAAACATGATTCTGTGGCGGGTAAAATTCGGGTCATTTGATGCTATCTTGAGATGGATTTTAATGAACTCTGGACTGGAGATTAAGGAAAGCCATTCTTTTGAAACGCACATGAATTTCAATAGTGACTTTACGGGAAGTCTTGACAGGATTTCTGTTATGATTTCTGATGGGAGGCTGGGGTTTTTTTGAGACAAGTATCCGATTTCCTTCGATTGTTGCAAGATTGTAGCACAAGAAGAATTTCTTGTGCATTCCGGTTGAAACTTCTCCATTTGGAATGAAAGGGTTTACTGTGAAGAAGAAGAACGTCTTCTTTTCATTTGATTTTGGAGTCTTCAAGGGGGATTTTTCACAAAGCAATGTGTTACTTAAAACGCATTTTTATTTTATATAAAATCCTTCCAACTATTAAATTAAGGTTTGATTTCACAAAGAAGTTACCTGAAAATTATAAAGCGGTCATTGAAGTTTAAAACTTGCAGAAACGGGTCCCTAAAGTTTAAATTTATTACACTAACGGTCACTGAATTTTTAGATTTTTTAAACAAGTTTTGCGACGATTTTCTGGCAACTTCCGACCACCAAGATCGCCGGATTTAGATACCGTTGGAGAGCGCACAATGTCCTCTTCAATTACCACCAAAAATCTTCCCATAACTTCAAGGGATTCAACCGAAATATACCCACGAAGTCAGCTACCGAAAAATTTGAAAATCTGCCCAGATTTTCAGATTTTTTGGGTGGGTTTGCGGCAATTTTCTGGCAACTTTCGACCACCAATGCCGTCGATTTCAAATACCGTTGGAAAGCCCACAATGCCCTCTTCAATTACCACCAAATATCTCCCCATAATTTCAAGGGATTCAATCGGAATAAACTCACGAAATCAGCTACCAAAAACATCTGAATATCTGCCCAGTTTGGATAGCTGACTTCGTGGGTTTATTCCGGCCGAATCCCTTGGAGTTATGGAGAGATTTTTGGTGGTGATTGAAGAGGACATTGTGGGCTTTCCAATTGTATCCAAATCCGGCGGTCTTGATGGTCGGAAGTTGCTGAAAATTTGCCGCAACCTTGCCCAAAAAATCTGAAAATTCAATGACCGTTTGTGATAGAAATTTAAACTTTAGTGATCATTTCTGCAAGTTTTAAACTGCAGTGACCGATCTGCGATTTTCAAGTAACTTGAGTGACCGTTTGTGAAATTAACTCATTAAAATAAATAAAAGATACAAAAACATTAATACCCTTCCAACTATATAAAAAAAAATATCTTATAACATTTCGAATTTAAAATTAACAACTCTTTCATCCAT